CCTGAAGCCCGGGCAACTGTACAACAGCCAAGCAAAAAGCAAGCAAGCCAATGGTGCAGCCTTTCTTCCTCAGCCTGAAACCAAGGACTTAAAGCAAGGACACGTTATGCAAGATATCACATTCAATTCCACTGCCAGCCTCTGAGGCCAGATGATACACATTGAGTGCGTCTGTCTCTCGAGCCCTCAATGTTAATCAACACTCTTTCCAATGCATACTTATGAGTTACAATCTACTCCCCACGTCTTCCCTTTGGCAGCTTAAATTAAGTCACAAATTTGACGGCAAATTAACTTCAACGGGGATGGTAATATGTCACCTATACAGCAATCTGTGCCATTTCTTGCCGGGGCAACACAAATCTTGTGCATCTGAGAGGAAAATTAAATCAAACAAATCATTTTCGTGTGAAAGTCAAATTCGAGGAAACACAAGAAAGAAGGCGTCACGCGGCGGGGCCATCGGCTGTTAACAAATCCCTCTGATGACAAAGCCTTGCATAATCGCCCAGTCAACCTTTATCATTGTGATCACAGAGCTTGAGATTTAATGCATGCTGGTATTAGCTGTGACATACAGTCACAATACAGTTGAGGTGGGAGGAACACATGCTCAGACACTGTGTGTGTACGTACATGTGTGTGTAAAGGGGAGGTGGATGTGGAACCAACAGAGATCTCCCCACTTCATCATTGAGTAAATGGCACCACAGACGTGAGCTGCGACTTCACAGCTGCCTCATGGCGGGTGACATTGAAGCCCACGCATGAACACATCGCTCATCAAAGCGAATGAGGCGTTCTTTGCTTCCTCTCCTTGTGCTGAGGAAAACAATGGCAGCCCCCCTCAAGTGCACACTTGCACACCTGGAATGCCTAGAATGAGTGGAGATGGGAATGAAAAGGAAAAAAAAAAATCCATTTGGTTTCATGCGTCTCTCACAAGAAGCTTAACAGACTGTGACCTTCCACTGCTTCGTAATGGGAAGGAAACGGCAAGACCCCGGTGCCATAAAACGGCTCAGAGCGGGTGCTAACAGTGGTTCTGCAATTAACCTGTCTTAAAACAAACAAGAGGCTTTTGCTTTAACAACAGGCGCATACTTGAGAGGTTTGATTTCTGCGGCGTGAAACTCAAAGGCGCACCAGGGTTCAGGTTTTAATCGGTCATTAGAGTGCTCATTTCGGCACAGCTGCGCTGAGATCTATGCAGCTATAAGCTCACTCAACGTGATCAAAAACCAAAACAAAAAAGTCAAAGCTCTTATGTAGATCCCAGCTACAGAATGATCCAACAACAAATGTCTCAAAAGCCCTCCAAGTCTCTTCACAGACAAAGAATACTGTCTTATCACTAATCTTAAAGTGTTAGAAGAATGCAAGTAAAAAACAGAAAGCAACAGAAATATTGTGAACGTACATTTTAGCACATAAGCACATCCTCCTGAAAGTTCAGTCACATAGTTTGAACACAAAAGCTCCACTCTTTCTCCTTAACTGTCCTCTTTTCTCTAAGTGGAACCAGACGCAGGCATTTCTTCATTTAGCCCATTCAAATGGAGGCAAGTTGCTGTTCTTTATTTATTTAACAAAACGAGCTGTAAAAGCCAAACATTAGGTCATGGAATATTTTCAACCCGAGAAATAAGTCAATGCCTTCAATGTGACATCAAACCCAGTTTAAGTATTGCCCTACAAAATATGAGCTGGTGAGGACCTTTTTCGAAGTCAAGTAGTGCTGTGGGATTTTTCTGTTTTTTAAATACAACTTTCAACAGTGTGGTGCACATGCGTTTCCAATTAAGAGCTCAGAGCCAACATCCAAGCCTGGGCCCCATTCACCCCTTCCACGATTGACCAAGTCTGAGGAAATGTTAAACAGGCATCATAACCATAACAGAGATGGCATATTTTTCAAAAGCCTTTACTTTCTAAACAATAATTAAGACATCACAGTGAATTGATGATATAGTCTGCAAACATCGCACAAAATCTAAATAAAGAAAAGAGAACATACTTAATCATAACTTTTTTGTTACGCGTTCACAGCTAGGGCACTTAAACATAACAATTTGTCCCTTTGGTGAATGGGTACAAAGCGTGCTTACAGTGCAAAGAAATAAAATATGTCAATGCTGTTGATTTGTGAGGATCATAATGAGAATGCACGGTTTACACAAGGCACTCAGAGTAGGATCTACTTCCCTGGCAGCAGCAATAACTCCCTATGAGCCTGTCTCAGCTCAGACTTCAATCTCTGGGCCCTAAGGAGCTGTTGGAGGACTTTGATGTTCTGTCTAAATGAATTGACTGTGCTTCTTGATACAGCCCTCCAGTCAACTGACTCCCCCCACCGATTCTGTCACCTGTGATAAACACCATGCAAGCTCGGCGGTACCAAAATCTGGATCACATGCTCAGAAAGGCCACTTTTTTTTCCCCCTTCGACTTTGTAAATGACTGAAAAAAAATATGATTGTTGTTTCCCGCCGTGCCCTATCAGAGCTGAAAGCCCTTTGAAGTGTGAGGCAGTATGTGAGCAAGCAATGCTGGGCTGGTTTTTGTTACCTTACAGCCCTGCAACATCCAGTAGGTGAGCCTTTATGTTGGATGCCCCTTCAGGGCATGATGTTTGTTGGAGCCTGGGCAAAGGCAACAACCTCTAACCCACTTCTATCATTGCTTTTTTTTCTTCTTCTTAGGAATCAGAGCAAGAGAGCTCTGCATACTGTACAAGCTTGCAATTTCACTGACATGATCCAAACAAGATCTAAGGTTTATTGAGGAGCACTGGTGCACAGCTAAGGAAGTTCATGTGTGTTAATACATCTACCTTGGGACTTCTGGTTTGTGACAATGTGTGCTTTGAATATTGATAAGTAGTGACTGGAGACACAATGCATGGGGGGGGAGATAATGTCCCAGTGCTAAAGATAGCACTGAGTGCAACCAATCAACGGCTAGCAAACACTGCAACGGACGATTTCGATCAAAGAGTGGGGCAGAGACGGTGGTTAGAGGGAAACAATACTTATCCATCTAAGCTTCAGCTTGGTCAATTCTCATTTGACTAAATCCAATTACCATCGATTCTGCATCTTCTTAAAGCTGAGGTTTAGGTTTTCCTTGATAGTGCAGAAATCTTAACTCGGATGAAGCGGCAGTATTTAACCTATTACAGCCTCCAATGAAGCGGTTGGGTTTTGGAGGAAAGTACGAGTTCTACTGGCAAAGGCATTGATCCTCCCACACCCTGGGTTTTCCCAGCGTGTGCAGCGATTCCTGTGCAAAGCCTCTGAACACCTCTCTCTCCTCCAGCAGCGATGGTGCTCCTGAGCAAACCTGCCCTGGATCGAGCATCTCATTTAGTCACTGGGCCCTTTGATGTGGATTCAGTGCTGCAGTGCATATCATTCGTGTTTGAAGGTTCAGCTTCCACAATACAGCAGGGTTTGAAGTTTCACATATTGCAAGTGCTACAATGTGATAATCTGGGAGCCGGTTATGCATTATACATTTTTCATAAAAGAACACCATCACCTGAAAGTGAAATGTGGAAAAGTCAGCGCTTCAAGGTATATATTGACAGAAACTGTTTCTGAGACTTCTGGGTGTGGGACGAAAACACTCTTGTTATCTTGAGCCTTTCAGAATCAGCTCTACATCTTCCCTCGGAAGGGGGTAAATATCCAAATAAACAGAGTAGAATAACATTTGACTGGGGTCTGCCATGCCATTATAAGACAGAATAATTTAGTTGACTGAACGTTTCTCACAGGGCACAGAGGCCATGACGGCTCTTTCTCCAGCAATGGCCAGCTGTAAAAAAAAATCTCCTATCTCCATCTGATTTCACAAGGGAGTTGATATGCAACTTGGGGCACTTCCTTCAGTGTCTTCTTAAATAAAACATGAAAAAATCCTTGTCAAGGTCTATGCCTGACCAAACTAAATGTATGGCTTTGGTTAGTGTAATGACAAAAAAGGAGCATTTTCAAGGCTGTAATTGACTCAAGAGGAAACCATCCGTTTTTAAAATCAAACTCCATCAAGCAGACAGGATTTTAAAAATAGTGAATGTTATTTCCCAAAGAATAAAATTCAGTTGGCAGTTCATGTCTGTGAGTGACTGAGGTTTATGTTAACGCCTCTGATTGTGATAATTAAAGAGTGTTTGTATGGAGGTGCACAGCTCTGCGTGTCTTTTTAAAAGGATGCTTACTGTCTCCAAAGCATGGAGATGTTGGCAGCCCGAGGGCCTGCCGGCTTTTCTATTCCCTCTTTCTGCATCTATCTTGTGCTAAATACACACAAATAAAAATGCACACGCACACACACATACAAATACCAATTCTACACACTGAACTGACATGTACAAACAAAAACCCACACATAAGAAGGAGTCGGCGCTTTCACAAACATCAGCCTCTCAATTAGCTTCTGCACTCATTTCTTCTCGGAAGAGAATTATTTTTCAACTGGGTGCTTTTTCTTTGTTTATTGTGAGCAGACCAAAGCCTTATCAGGAGCTAATCACTGCATGTCAAATTCAGAGACTCACTGCAGTCACTTAAAAAAAAAGATTCAGTGAATAATCTGCTCAAGTTCAGATTGCCATTTTAGATTTGGACAATCACCAATTTCTTTTAGATGCTTAAATCTGTCTACCAGCCAGGGAGAAGATCAGCATTTGTTTGATATAATTTGTTGTGACATGTTAATTGCATCTACTTGTAATTCTATCTAATTGATGTTTGATATGTCTCAGGAAATTAGGCCAACTAGATAACACTGCAAATATTATGAATCCTCCCCGCCTTTCTCTTTTCCGTGGCAGGTCTGATGGATTCACAACACCTAAAACTCTAATGTGTCAACATGCTGTGCAGCTATGCTTTGTATTCCCAAGGCTGCCAGGCTGACAAATCTAAGGTTACAAGCATACCACTGTATATTCAAAACACATTCAGGCACACTGCAGAGGGCCAGAGAAGACTAACCTGAGCAATTTTCACTGAGTTTTGGGTTGAACCGCCAGCATGGTATTCAACTTTGCTCCTCTTGACAATTTCTTCAAACCTGAAACAAAGAGGTACATGACTCGTTATAAAAGATAACATTCAATACTAAGTACAAAGTGAATTAGACCAGACCTGCTGATAACGGATTAGTGTAGACACCCAATACCACCACCTGTAACATGGGTAGACGACAGGTTTCTCAACTTTCTTGTCACATTACAACATGTTTAGGAGGAGTGAGACATAAGTATCACAAATTAGGCAATAGAGAATCCATCAGTAGTGGTTACACAGGTACAGCTAAAGCGACTGTGAACAAAAAAGATGTGAAAATGTCTCAAAACTTTCGGATGGACGGCTGTGAAATTTGGTAAAGACATTCATGGTCTCCAGAGAATAATCCGAATGACTCTTTTGATCTCTCAAGCTTTTTATAACTATCAACATGTCATGTTTTCCACTAGTTCAACACAGGATACGATGCACCAAATTCCAGTGAGTGTCATTTGTAATATGAACCAGACCCACATAGCATGCTGAAACACTAATGTTAGCGTCACACCCTGCTCAAGTGCACATACATCTTAGCATGCTTATAACACATACCACAGCCAACATGCCAACGTACTAAAGATAGCTTGCCAAATCCCCAGATATAAATAATTCAAGTTTAGCATGCTAACATGTTGACATAATAAATTTAACATGCCAACAGAATCTTTGCACATTATCATGCAAAACTTAAAGCTGCACCCGTTGATATATTTTCAATGGCTTCAACTGATAGATGACCGAAGTCTGCAGCTCTTATGGCTTATTGTTTTGGTTTTAAGGTCCACAGATTGGTTTTGTTCAGTCTCATTGCTCTCATCACAACATGTGTTCAGCAAAAAACTCCAACTTTCCAAGCACTATGTAAATGTCACACTGACAAAGTTAACATCTAGCTGGTAAACATAGTGCAGCATTTAGCAGCTAAAGAGTCGGATATTTCTCTCAAGAATTGGTGGAGAGAAAAACAGAGCTAAAATGAAAGTGAAAATAGGACTTACATTCAGGGCATACACAAAAACAACCCTAAATGAATGCTAATGATTGCTCATTTCCCGCACTCTCAAGCACGAGACATAGTGTTCAGGTGTTACAGCTCGCTGTACGTGGATATAGTTTTTTTTCCAAATGTTTTGATCTACTCTGCACCCTTGTTGAGAATTACTGGGTGAAGTCATCAACTTTCTACCCCAGCTATAAAGAAGGCAGCAGTAGGTCAACTGCAATATGATAAATTTGAGAAGAACATACTCTTTTTTTTTTTTTGCAATACTGCTTAAATAGAAAAAAAGGCATGGGAAAAAAAGCAGCGAGTAGACGCTGGATTTTGTTAAATGGGATACTTGACCACAAATGTTGCCGGAGTTGAAAAGAGGCAGTTGGGGTCTGAATGTCAGCTTGATAAAAGCAAAAGAGGAACATTGTCCACACATGGTTGCAGTTAGTCATACAGTATTAAAGCAAGATGAGCAAGAGAAAGTTATTTCTGACAAACTTGAACTGCTTCCTCAAAAGGGATGCATAAAATAAAATACATTTTTAATTTTTCACTTGCCAGAGATAGGCAGCTATTTTGTATTTTATAGGTGATGTTTTCAGAGCATTAGAAAAAACAAGCTGTACAATTTCCTTGTGCGCAAACCCTCATCGCCAGATAATGTGTTTACAGAGAGACCACATCTGATTAAATGTTTGATGTATGAACCATACAGCAAAGTTTAGAAATGACTGAAACAGACTAAACACAATGAGTCAAGAAAACAGACATGACATTGGGGAATGGGGGAGTAAACAATTGCCGAGTTTTTCAAACATAAACCACAGGAACACCCTTGGGTCTACAGTGAAATACTGACGGCGGTTTTATCATTCTTGTATTTTCCCCATCATACTGCCATTTCATACATCAATAGCATCAATGCATAGGCGTAACATGATGCAAAGCTGGGCTACGCTGCAAGATAGACTCTTTATCTGAGGAGCTGAGAACATGAATAATGTGTTTTCACCACATCGTTCATATAAACAACCTCCCAGGGGGCTGGCTACACAAACGTGTCCACCCTGCTAAGGAAATTGACCTAACTGCAGTCAAGATGATATGCCACATTAGGAGGTCCTTGGCTTTTTTTTTTTTTCCTCAACCGTAAATTGAAGACTGTCCATTTGTAAGTGTATTTAGGGAGGGGGGGAAAAAAATCCAATGACATGGTAAATAGTTCAAGGTGCACCATACCATTCCCACTGGTGTTGTATGTGCAATTCCACCTTAAATTAACTGCGTAAGAGGGGTTGTTGAGAAAATGCTTGAGTGTAATCCCAAGGGGTGCTGGTTATGTAAAGGCTCTGCTGCAGAATGTCAATGTGTTCCCTTCTTAGGATTAAAAAAACATTCTCAGGGGAGGTCAAAGGTTGCACGTTTTGGGGTGGCGAACCTGAATTTTGAAGTTGAACCTAGAAATATTTCGTGTCTATTGCATATACCCACTGCAGACAGGAGTAATATGTATGCAAAGTGCATCATGGCTTACCAACATATGTCAGCCAGAGGTGTTCAATACTGCAGCACAACCTGGTTTAACTAAGCATGGCCAAATTTTGAGCGAGTGTGAAAGTAACCTTTACTGCTTCAAAGAAAGTCTGCATATCATGTCTCAAGGCAAGGGGGTCTACCCAGGGCAGAATGTTCCTAATAAAGAAAAAAAAAAAAAAAAAAAAACTTTCCATGCAAGTGGAAAATATGCTAACCGGGAAAAAATCCTTCCTGAGACACCTGTTATGACTCCTTGACAAAGGAAGAATTTGAGCACTGTGGGTGTTTATAACATGAAGGCAGCCGAGGGACTCCAGAACCCATTTCAAATAGACACACAGCTTCAGAGGATTTGAGCTTTTTTTTTTTTTCTTCCTAGAAGTATTTGCTCCACCTTTCAGTGCAGACAGCATGGGGCCCTGCTCTTGGATGCCTCGAAAATCCCATCCGAAAAGGAGCAGCTGCCTCGAGACCTTTACACCCTCAAACATCATGTGATCCCATAGTAGTGACACCGTAAACGGCCCCCTTGGCCATTTAGGAAGAGAAAATCCCATTCCATCTACTGCAGTCTAAGCTCACTCGCTGATGGGAGGGAGCAGAGAAAAAGAAATTGTTTTGAACAAAATGTCCTCAGCCCGTAACCTCTACTTTTAAAACCCACTGGTGTTGTTCAGTGGAAGAGCAATTCCAAATATGCCATGAATTCCACTAATGTATGGACAGTCTGTGTTATATAACACATGCCTTACAAGAGACTGCCCCTGACACTCTGGTTAAAGACCACTCTTAACTAAAGGCAGTGTGCTATTTTTCAATTTCATACCTTCCAATTTGAGACTAATAGGGCACTTATTTATTCAGCTTAAATCAAATTAGGGGAATTAGGCTACTGAAAGGAATATCTGTATTCAGAGGATATGAGAGTCCTCCTCAAAACCTAATACCTCTACATCTCCCTGGCTTAACACATTCAAATTGTTGGGGCAGATCACACAAGTCAGGAACATGGTGTTGTTTACATTCCTGGGGAAGGAGCCCCCACCGTTGTTTCCCATCAAGGGAAATATGAGAGCTTCCAAAGTACTATGAGTGTTCTCTGCCCCGAGTGACTCATGAGTTCCTCTCTCACCTCCCAAAAAAGAGCCAAGTAGATTATTTACATGAGGCAATAATTCAAGATTTGCTCCTCTAAGTCTCTTACATGGAGGGCAAGGCGAGCCCATTTACCCAATCCCTCTTCATTCGCCTTTGATGTTAGCCTATCTCGATAAGACCGGATGAGTGCCCTAAAATCCCCATCGAGTGATTTCACAGGAAGAACAAGTCTCTGTTAATCAATGGCTAGATTGGATCTGGATCCTCGGGAGTGGTCCGCGTGAAAGTCCTCCCGAGTGTTTGAGTGCACACCGGGGTAATTCATCGCTAATGATCACCGCGGCACCCACTCTCCTCCGTTCGTCCTTATTTAATTGCCTCGTTCACGTTTAAACAGCTTACAAATCACAAGGACAGGCAGGGAAACATGATCAAACAGCCCCTATCACTAATCAGGGGAGGGCAAGGGAAGAAGTGAGAGGACTGGGGCTTCTTTGCTGCTCTCCTTGGGGGATTAGAAAAGGAGGAGGGTTGTACAGGAGCAGTAAATTATCGCTGCTTCAGCTATAGCAGGCAGGTACATTTAAACAGGCAGATCCATCTTTCTCTCTCTCTGACAGAAGCAGAGAGGGGCAATATAGCTAAAAGGCTTCGGTAATCCCAGTTTCAACACAGGCATCTGGAGTGGAGACAGGTTCCACCATTGATTAGATTCCCCCCAATCAGTGCGTGCATCCTACACCAGCCTTCCTTGGTAGTCTGGAGGCAGTACAAGGCCTGATGCACAGTAATTGTTTCCATAGGTCAGGCAGAGGAAAAACAGCTCGGGGACGTGATGAAAGGGAGATGGAAAGGGTGAGGAATATTGTTGTTTTTCCCCCCAATTAAATTGTTTGTCAAACCCTTCACAAAGGGTTACGCAGTTTATCTGTTTAAAATCAATACGCTCGTCTCAGTGTGAAAGCTTGTCCCGACACAAGACAGGCCCATTAATTATTCTGTTCTGTGCGCTATCGCTGGGCTGCTCAAGGTTGAGCCTTATCTTTTCTTATTTCAAATCAATAATTATCTTCTACCGTGCTCGCGCTCCCCCTCAGAAATAGATGTGCTTTTCATTCAATGCCTGTAGAGTCTCTCTCTCTCTGTAGCAACTGGTGAAGAACGCAGAATGAATAGGACATTCTTATCAGTGGAACATTAGGGCAGGATGGGAATAGATGGCGAAGAATGAGGCGCATAAAAGTACTGAACACAAATGAGTCATGATTCAAACAGCAAGCGAGGCCTTGTTCCCGTCCTTTGACATCTTCTAATACACTACAGTACGAGATGAATGTTGATTTGCACAAATGTGTTACGATATCGCCATCGTTCAG